ATCCTTAATTTTGGTGCAAATAATAAGGTGATAATGGTATACAGGAATAACTAAATATTTATTTTAATGATAATTCTCACATCGAATATAATATGCATAGAATAGAAATAAGAATCATACCATAACCATGAAAGCTGCTTTAAGTGCTGGACCAAGAGCAGACTCCACATTTACATTGTCATGAAACATGTTTGGCAAGCTATCAAGAAATGACTCCACAACATGTCTTGAGTCGACCAAATTAACCAAGAGGTCATCAGGCAATGGCAGAAAAACATCATCCAAATCAGCAACCACCATCATTTGAGGCTGTGACAAAGAAGACTGATACAAGAAGACCATACAGGTTGTTTCAGTACAAATTGAATGCGACATTCAAAAATTGCCATGTATTGCAAAACAAAAGGTGCAAGTTTGAGTTGAAGAATGACTATGCGAGAGATGTTGAGCATGCCTTGAAGTTATGAAAATGCAAGGTGCTGTCAAAGGTTAAGAATCCAATCTGTGTTCGCGGAAAGCCTGGAAGTTCATTGAGGCATGATTTGATGGTCTTTGCAACAACCTAAAGAAATAAGTGGCAGTAATAATGTGAGTCATTAAGGAAAAAATAAAAAGATGGCAATCAAAAAAAAAATTAAACACGGATAAAACCATACCTCAAGCAATCCGCTCCGAACTGCAGATACTGACACATCAATAAGAAAGAAATAGGAAGGCGGCATCGGTGGCCGCACCATATATTCTGTTGGAGCAACAAACTCTACAGTTCCCTTAGAGAGTTCAGGTCTTTGATCAGTATCATACCTTCTGCCACTAGCATCAAGCGCACAAAAGTACTCTCCAGGAACTGCAGTAAAAGAAAGCACGGGTTTTCATAAAGCAGTTCATGGGAGCGGGTTTGTAGGGAATTATGTAGCACTAGAATGAAGATTGTATGACAGGAGAGTTTTTGTACTTCAAGCACTATTTCCATGAACAATAGTTAAATCTGATGACTAACAGACTTACAATATTAGTTCATAAGATCCACCCTTTCTTTTCTTGTATATAATCATGAAGGACACAATAAAGCAAAATACCTCTTGCACAGAAGACACTATAACTACAACATGCTTGATCTAGCTCCTTTGGTCTCAAAATACATCCTAAAATATATGATCAATAATATGAGGTACTACCTACCTCCATCCAGAAAAGGATACTATTCTAGCTTTATTCCTAGTCAAACTTTCTAAAGTTTGACCAGGTTTATAGAAAAGAGTACCAATACTTGCAGCATAAAATAGGCATACTATGAAAATATATCTCATGATGAATCTAGCGACACTTATTTGGTATCATAAATATTGATACTTTTTTCTATAAACTTGGTCAAACTAAAAATGATTTGACTCGGTACTAGAAAGACTGCAGGGGTAATTAAGTTTTCTAATGAAATAAATAAGTTAAAAAAGATTAAATTCTGGAATGACCTTTAATTGAATAGCAATTCTTGATCTGCCAAATCTCAAGACACTATACATCAACATTAACCAAACAAATCTTAATTTTACTAGAAATCCTAAATGGTTCTTTATCACTAGAAAATTTTCCATAGCATGTATTAATGTACGACTGCTGTTACCATCTGAATAATAGCAATCGAAAAGTTGATCACAAATATAACTTTTTTCAAAAAAAGCAAAAATAGAAAAGACAAGTACCCTATTCATTGACACATGTTTCATGTTAAAAAAAGTGTTGCTTCTTTGGTATGGGATGCTGCTTAAAAAATCACATCCTGTATAGAATGGCCACTTGGCTAGAAGATTTCACCTGCTAATTCTACATTTCAGTTTTTGTGTAAACAGTCGTACATCATAATATTCCCTCTCATTTCAAACTATAAGGCTTCTTCAGAGTATGTGAAAGAACTAAGAAGGATGAAACGAGAGAAAGGGAGAAGGAAATAACCATGCAACGCCTATTTAATCACATTGGAAATATGAGAGGGAAGAGTTAAAGATTGTATGTAGGTCAGCAAGGAGGTAATAGGTGAGGGAAAAGAAGGTAACATACAAACATATAAGAATTGTATTTTGAAAAGGCAGAGAAAACTATGTGCTTTAATTTTGGAAGGCATGGAGTAGTATGATATGCTAGTCATCACACTACACCAAGAACATAGTACAAGGAAGTTGAGGAAAGGTCCTTAGTGGTTTCTGCATCTAAACTGTGTCATTCAAAGTAGTGAAACAATCTTTCTTATCTATCACAAAAATGGTATATATAGTTACTGCTTTTAGGAAATAATACGATGGCTGGTTGAAACCAATAGTAATCAGACATGAATAGTCATTTGTGTACCAGTGTGTTCTTTTTCAGCCATTCCATAACACAGACTGGTACTTGAGCTGAAGTTCGGGATAGCTATAATTACCGTCATTGAGCAACGTGCAAAGATTGCAGCGCCATTTCCTTCCAGAATCTGCAAATGTTGCATAAGGATTTATATACGTCCTGCATCTTCGACAACGAATGACACCAGCAGACCCAAAGTTGATAACTGGCACTTCCTCCTGAGTGAGGAGAAAGAAGCATGTGAAGAAAAGAGCCCATTCAATGGAAAATAGAAACAAATTAAAACATTAATAGTTCATTACCCCATCAGGTGATTCTGCAAGAGGGTGTACCACAGCCCCAAGAGGCAAATGCCACCTGGAGACCAATGACTGAGATGCAGGGATCGCATGGGTTGTCAGCCGGAAGTACCTCGGGTGGCAATTCAATGGGTATGCCTCCATAAGCTTAACTGGCTCCTCATCACCATCCAATGGCCTTGGCAGCCCTTTTACATCAACACCAGGGTCAAGTGACCCAGGCGCAGAACTCAGTGCTAACGACTGGAAGTCCTCCACTAAGCTCTGAAGTGTGCCTCCGACTGGAGGCCCAGCATACGCTGCCTGGTTACCAAACGTGGCAGCCGGTCCCATTGGAGGAGGAGGCATAGTCTGCACTGGTTGTTGAAATGCTGGCCTTGACATTGGGAATTGAGGGTTCGCAGGTGGTGCACCGGTGTAATACCCTTGCGTCTGTGGCGGCCTTGCATATGTCGGTGGTGGAGGCAAAGCACCTCCCGTGGGAGATTGTGGTTGCGCAAGGGACAACGGCGGAGGGCGAAAAGGTGCTGGTGTAGCAGCAAAGGGGCTCGTCGGCGGTGGTCCAGCAGCGAAGGGGCCCTGAGACGGTGGAGGGGACGTAAAGGGACTCTGAGATGGAGGAGCGGTGGCAAAGGGGCCCTGAGACGGTGGAGCGGAGGCAAAGGGGCCCTGAGACGGTGGAGCGGAGGCAAAGGGACCTTGCGACGGCGGTGCGGAGGTGGTGAAAGGGCCCTGGGGCGGTGGACCGGCTCCAAAGGGTCCCTGTGACGGCGGTGGACCCCTGAACCCACCCATTGCGGCGGGTGGCGCAGCCCCAAAAGGGGGCGCCGTAGCACCAGACTGAGGAGGCCGGGCGAACGGGCCACCGGCGGCAAACGGTGGAGGCGGGACAGCGGCGCCGGGCACGAAGGCTGAGACAGGGCGGCCGGGCGGCGGCGGCCTCTCGTTCCCCATCGGCGGCTGCATCGCGTCGAACCTGCGAAATCGGGCGGCGGGCGGAAGCGAGATGAGACAGGAGCTTTTCTGTGCGCGTGATCCGCGTGTTTCCCGATCGGATCCTGCCAGCGCGGCCGGATCTGGCGGGAGCGGTGAGATTCGGGGGGAGGACGTACCGGGATCAGGGCGTTGAGGCGGCGCTCCGGCGGCGACCAGGGCGCCGAGGCGGCGGGGGCAGGCTCAGGGGCAGCAGCTGGATGCGGAGGAAGAGGAGGCGACGCGAGCGAGGGTTAAAAACGAACAAAAGAGAAGCAGACGAGGGAGAAGAGAGAAGGCCGGCTTCGTATGTCGCAGTCGCCTCTCCCCTCCTGAATTCTACAGTCGCCGCAACAGATTCCTATCAAATTCGTAAAATCGTTTTAAATCAAATCATTTAATTTGAGTCCGTGAAAGTTGTACGTACTTGCCATACCCCATACCAATTGTCACGGATTTTGTCGTTTATTATCCTACCTCTTAGTAGCAGAGTAACTCGCCAACTACTAACTCAATTCTCTTTTACCTGGCGCATACGCATATTAAGATTATATATAAAACTTTAAAATCTTTGATCAATAATTTAATTAATATTTTTTAATTATTATAGCATAAACTTGATATGGTTAGATTTGTAATCAAATCTACTACCTAGTTATCATAAATTTATAAATAAATATCAAATTAAATCTACTACATTTTTGTGTCTTGCGCTAGAGATAGTAGCATTGGAGGAAGAGAGTGGCTAGTTGAGGGTATCAGTGCTAGAGATGGAGTGGTAAACAAAGCCAAAAAAATAGTCCACTGTCAATGGTGTGCAATATCGTAGCATTGTGTAATAAGATACTAATTCAATCATTTGGTCTTTGGTGACAAGAAATAGGAAAACATGGTGTAAGTGCAATCAAGTACTAATTGTGGGTTTTGTAATAATGACCACGTAATTAAAGGACTAATGCGATTTATCAAGATGACAAGTAGGAGATTCTCTAATGAGGATGTTATACATAACGAAGGAGCCCCCAATCACAAAAGATGACGACTTCGAGTTCGAAGGATGTTTATTTTATTTTATAATTTGGAATTTGAGTATAGAAAAAGCCGTACTATAAAGGGGGACACAATGCGTATGCTAACATGTGCAACCAAGTGCTCAATCTTACACAAAAGCATCCTCAAAGTCCAGCCATGACAGCCGTAGAAAAAGGGAAAGCTTCGCCCCGACGCCACGGTAAACTCGATGACCTTCCTGTTTACTACCCTGTACATTGATCTACCAAGCATTCCTTCATGGAGTGCTCAGTATATAAGAAGCAGAAACAGGAAGAGGAATAGCAGCGCAGGGCTGAAGCACCCAGTCGCCAGCAATGGCAAAATCAGAATGTTCACATGGCAGACGAAGAAGAAGAAATCGTCTTGCCCGAGAACCAGATCCTTACCATATACGGTGGCACCGCCACCCCGGCTTCTAAGACCAAGCTGAAACAAGTCCAGCGGCAGGTGACCAGTACCCAGTCGTCGGAAAGAAGGCTCAAGTGGTCAGAAGTCCCCATCTTGTTTGACCTTAGGGATCATCCCCTGAACCTGTATGATGGCCCACTGCTCCTGTTGGTTATTCAACCATACATCGGGAATTACAAAGGTCAGACGAACCTTAATCAACAGTGGAAGTGCGCTCAATATATTGTTCGCCAACACGAAGCGTTGCCCAGGAAGGCTCTGATTCTAGTCAAGGAACCCTTCTATGGAATAATGCCAGGCATGTCAGCCTATCCACTCGGAAGAATCGACCTCCAGGTTACCCTGCAAGAAGGCGAGAACCTAAGGTCCAAAATCCTGACTTTTGAGGTAGCCGATTTTGAGTCAGCCTACAACTACATTCTGGGACGACCGTTCCTGAAGAAATTCATGGCTGTCGCCCACTTCGCTTACTCGGTACTGAAGGTACCCGAGCCCCACGGTGCTCTCACTATCTACGATGACCAAAAAGGTGCAGTCACCTGTAACATGAAAACTCTCGACCTGATCAAGCAATTCAGGCAGGTTCTCGTAGATCCGACTGAGCCACCGCAAAAGCCGTAGAAAACCACAAACCCGACTGTTATGACAACACCAGCAGCCACTATACCTACACCTATTGTAGCAGCTCCGGTTGTGGTCAAGCCATCAATCCCAGAGGTCGAGAGCTCTAAAGCGGTTGAAGCTCGGTCCAAGGCACCTATCCTGCCATAGAATCAAAACTTGGCACTGCCTCAATCTCAGGCTCCAATGCCATCTAAAATTCCAATCCCAATGATCTCGCAATCCCAGACTCCGGAACTCCCATAGTCTTAGATGCCGAAGATCAACGTGGTCAACTCTGAACAAGTGGCGGTCATGGACAAGCCAGATGACACTCCTCAATCTAAGTCGCAACTAGAGACTAGACTACCAAACCCATCACCGTTGATCCAACAAACCCTAGTACGGTCACCCATATTGGGACCCTCAATAGGAACTCAAGCTCATTACTTTCCTCTAGGCAAACAAAGATGTTTTCGCTTGGGAACCATCCTGAAGTAGACTAGGCCTGATCTTCCGAAAGGTATGATAGCGTCGATTGGTGGAGACTCGACGTTCATGATCTAGGCTTCGAACCAAGACTGATTCGGACCCCTACAACCGTTACACCATAGCTCCGTTGGTTATCAACCACGCGAACGCGATTGACCTCGCCAAGAAGGCTTTCCTGCAAGCGAATTAAGAACACAAGCAAGAACGGGATGAACACAATCTAAAATTGCAAATAAATATGAGGCTTAAGATAACGAAAAATAGTTCAAATCTTTATTCGAAAGGACTAATCACCACAGACGAACAAGATCAAGAACAGGGGCCCTGGTTCACAGCAAGCAGCCTTGGCGGCACAGTTGCAGCAAAACGATGTCTGTTTTATGAGGAAATCAAGAACTAAACAAAACCAAAACCCTAATGGAGGGCTGGTGGCTATTTATGAAGACTCTAGGGTCATGCAAGACCCCTAGATGAGCCCCTAATGGGCCCAAACACGATACATGGTCTAACGGACCAAAAGACGGTGTCGTAGCACCCTGGTAGATTCTAGACGCTAACTTGTGACTATGATTCCCATTGATTTTGAATAGATTTTGATGTGAGACCACTTGAATTAGTTTCCTTATCAAATTAGCTTTCCATCCATATGTGAATCATCGAAAACAGAGTCCGGATGTGTCCTGGGTGACCAGTTTAAGGCATACTGGTCCTAAAACCCGAGATGGGCTCTAACTTCAGTTGGACTAGGCCTCCACCATGAAAAAGATGAATTGGACGCCCATGCTGGACCTCCTCCTCTCCTTGGCTTGTATGCGATGAAGTAGTGATGTCCTCATCATCCTCCCTTTCTTGAATTGAAGTCATCCTCGACTGAAGTAGATCGTCTCCTCCATTGGATGACAGCAACGATGGCTCCGAAAGAAGACGTTCATCTTGACACCCAATCCTTCGCAAAGGTAGCTGCCATGGTGGCTTCCCTACTAGGAATTCATCCTCCTCCTGCAAAAGGTTAGTACCAACAAGGGGCATAGCACTAGGAGTAGGACCAAGTGGACATATAGGCGATGTACAAGTTAGAGCATAACATGGTTCATCATGAACAACAAGAACAGATTTAAGAGCAAATAAAAGTTCTTTCATGTTACTTGAAGGTTCATTGAATGGTTTGCTAGAGTCTTTATCAAGGCCTTTCTTTTTCTTTTCAGCAAGTTCCTTTTCATATTGCACAATTTCAGCAGGTGTTAAAGGAAGTAAAGCAATGGTCATTCCTTTAAACATAAAAGTATATCTATTTTGCCTACCATGATGTACAACATTATTATCATATTGCCAAGGGTGGCCTAACAAAAGGGAACAAGCTTGTATAAGCACGACATCAAAATCAGCATAATCATGGTATGATCCGATAGAAAAATGCACATGAGCAGATTGTGTTACCTTTGCCTTACCACTATTGTTGAACCACTGAACATGGTATGAATGTGGAAGAGCACGTGTAGATAAACCAAGAGTCTTGACAAGCTTAGAACTTACCAAGTTATTGTTGCTCCCTCCATCAATTATAGCACGAACACGGAAATTATTGACAATGAGGAACATTTGAAACAAATTATGGCGTTGTAGCTTGTCTACTGGCTCAACTTGTGTACTCAACACACGCTGAACAAGGATTGATTTGTAGTCTGCAGTGCATGCCACACTATCAATTACCTCATCAGGATCTTCAGCACTATCCGCAAATTTATCTGCATAAAGATCAGTTGCAAGTGTAAATTCATTCTCTTCATCACTAGCACTAGCATACCCACCATCATCAGTAGCAATATATGCGCGTTTGCTGGGGCATTCTTTAGCAATATGTCACATGCCCTTGCAACGGTGGCACACAACTTTAGAAGAGCTGCTAGAGGAAGGTGTAGCAGATCCACTAGAAAAGGTGTGACAGGAGAACTCTTCTTTACAGGCGTTGGTGGTGTCTGCACATTAGAAAATTTACTCACCTCGGTTGGACGTGAAGGAATGGATGGAGTCACGGACGGAGTTGTGGGACGCCTAGGTTGTCGTCCCTGTACTTCCCTTTTAGCTTTAATAGCATAATGATATAATTGAGAAAATCTAGTCCATTCTTTATAGTCAAGAACATCCTGTATTTCACGACGCAAACCTCCAAAAAAATCTAGAACACTTATCTATTTCATCCTCTTATATGTTACTACGTGCTAGACCAATTAAAAGCTCCTGATAATATTTCTCAATAATCTTACTACCTTGATTTAAACGTTGTAGTTTTAATCACAGATCACGCTGATAGTATGGAGGAACAAATCTCGATTTCATTCGTCGTTTAAGTACAGTCCAGGTTTGAGGTATTTGAGCATTAGCATTAGCATTGGCATTAACATTATTGCAAATATCATTCCACCAGAAAAGAGCAAAACTAGTAAACTCACTAGTAGCAAGTCTAACTCTATATTCTTCCGGTACTTGATGGGAGCTAAATTTTTGATCTACAGCCACCTCCCAATCTAAATATGCTTCAGGATCAGCAGAACCAGAAAAAGGAGATATCTTAAACTTGGTTTTAGAAAAAGGATCATTATTACCTTGGTTATTACCTCCCATACCGTGTCGGTTAAAGTTCAACCGATTACGGTTACGTGCATCCTCAGCACGTCGTTGAGCTTTGGCTTCAGCCTCCGCGTCGTTATCCTCCTCCTCAGAGAGATCATCCTCATCATCTTCAGGACGTGGTTCAGGATGTCGTTGTTCACCATCTTCAATCCTCTTGGCCAAATTGGTGATTTGTTGAAGGATCTCATTGAACTTGTCATCAAGAATGGCACGAAGCTCATTCTTAGAAACACAGTCATTGAAATCTGTAGGTGCGTCCTCATTTCCTTGGCCACTGCCTCCGGCTTTTCCTGACATGGTTAGTAGAAAGGAGAAGACAACACAAATAGTATTATCCCTACCGACTACTTAGGTTGTGGATAAGGAAAAACAAGGCACTCAACTCTCAAGCGTCTTACCACGGTCTTACAAGTGTTCTTACCAATGCAACAGGCGGTGCAATCGATCGGTGACTGTGATACCGTTGTAGCTCAAGTGTAACAATTGCAAGGCAAACCTGTACTTGGTTAGAAGAAAGTGGAGCTTGGATAGGCATAATATAGTAGCAAGGAAAAACAATATTCGTAACTGAATAGCAAAGCTGAATAAGTATCCCGAGTACTTGTCTTAGTTGCTGGCCTACTCACATTCCAAGTACCAGATGTATCAAGTGATGTGAACGGCAGGAATATGATTAGGAACAAGGTAGAAATCAGCACACGCAAACACAGCTCAAATGACGTTCTCTATGTGCTCCTCTAGATATTGTTTCTCTTTTGCCCCTCTCTTTTTTCTATTTTTTTGGGTTGTCGTTGTTTTTTAGGAAATTTTGACTTTTTCTTTTTATTTTTTTGATATTTTTTCCTTCACTTAAGAGCACAAAAAAAGTAACTATAGAAAATATGAGCTTAAACAAGTGAAAGGCGTGGCCTGTGGAAATTTCAGAAGATGTGCTCAAAATCGACAAAAAGCTTATGACCACGAAAAGAGGATCTTGTGATCACTTTTTGACCAAAATAAAAAATTCTGACCAAAATTGTCTGGGATGGACGGATCCAAAAAAAAAATTCTGATCAATTTTGATATATCGAATGTCAAAATCTGAGTTCGTATGCGAAAACTAGACCAGTTTTACGAATTGACTCCGAATTGGAGGACAAAACGGGAACAATGCGCGCAAAATTGGTCACGACAGCAAGGATATGAATGAAACAATGAAGACAAGTGTAACAAATTAGATGGTGTGAACTAGGGTTTGATGGATACAAAGTAAACACAACAAGATTTGAAGATGTTCATGGATTATGATAAAAAATAAAGGGAAAAACACAAACTAGACTCAAAACGATCTAAAACCAGCAACCAGAACTTGACCTAGGACACAAACTTGACCTAGGACACAAACTCAACAACGCGAAATAGAGACGAAATTACACGGCACAACGAGGCTATAGGATAGGGAATATGTGGCAGTGTATATATTTTTTTGGCTTTTTATGGACTATAGGTAATGCAAAAACAATAACAATCTAAAGGAAAAACAAAGTTATACCTAACGGGCAACAAGGTCTCTAATACCACTTAAAGTAGACTAGGCCCGATCTTTCAAAAGATATGATAGCGTTGATTGGTAGAGACTCGATGTTTATGATCTAGGCTTCGAACCAAGACTAATTCGGACCCCCGCAACCGTTACACCATAGCTCTATTGGTTATCAACCACGCGAACACGATTGACCTTGCCGAGAAGGTTTTCCTGCAAGTGAATCAAGAACACAAGCAAGAACATGATGAACGCAATCTGAAATTGCAAATAAATATGAGGCTTAAATAACAAAAAAGAGTTCAAGTCTTTATTCGAAAGGACTAATCGTCACAGGCGAACAAGATCAAGAACAGGGGCCCTGGTTCACAGCAAGCAGTCTTGGCAGCACAGTTGCAGCAAAACGATGTCTGTTTCATGAGGAAATCAAGAACTAAACAAAACCCAAACCCTAATGGAGGGGTGGCGGCTGTTTATGAAGACTCTGGGGTCGTGCAAGACCCCTGGACGCGCCCCTAATGGGCCC